CCGCCACCGCGCCCGGCTAATTTTTTGTATTTTGGTAGAGACGAGGTTTCACCGTGTTAGCCAGGATGGTCTCGATCTCCTGACCTCGTGATCCACCCGCCTGGGCCTCCCAAAGTGCAGGGATTACAGGCGTGAGCCACCGCGCCCGGTCGGGATGTTTTTTTAAGACAGAGTCTCACTCTGTTGCCCAGGCTGGAGTGCAGTGGCAAGATCTTGGCTCACTGAAACCTCTACCTCCCAGGTTCAAGGAATTCCCCCGCCTCAGCCTCTCAAGTAGCTGAGAATCCCCGTCTCTGCCAAAAAAAAAAAAAAAACTATATATATATGTGTGTGTGTGTGTGTGTTTTATATGTATATATATTTAGGTATATGCACACACACACAAAATTAGGTGGGAGTGGTGGCGCATGCCTGTGCTCCGAGCTACTTGGGAGGCTGAGGCACGAGAATTGCTTGAGCCCGTGAAGTCAAGGCTGCAGTGAGCCAAGACCGAGCCATTGCACTCCAGCCTGGGCGAAAGAGAAAGACCGTGTCTCAGAACAAACAAACAAAAGCTATTCTTGCCACGTTTTTCGTTTTTTTGTTTTTTTTTTTTTTTTTTTTTTTTTGAGTCAGAGTCTCACACTGTCGCCCAGGCTGGAGTGCAGTGACTCGATCTCGGTTCACTTCAAGCTCTGCCTCCCGGGTTCACGCCATTCTCCTGGCTCAGCCTTCCGAGTAGCTGGGACTACAGGCGCCCGCCACCACTCCCGGCTAATTATATATATATTTTTTTAGTACAGACGGGGGTTTCACCGTGTTAGCCAGGATGGTCTCGATCTCCTGACCTCGTGATCCGCCCGCCTCGGCCTCTCAAAGTGCTAGGATTACAGGAGTGAGCCACCGCGCCCGGCCCATATTTATTTGTTAACAGACACTGATACCCAGCTAAAGCGGTTGAACACATTTATTCTCTGGAAGTGTTTAAAAGTATCTGTTTTCCTCACATCGTTTTATTTAAAATTGTTCTGGATCAAGCAACTTGATCTTTTTCCTCATAACTTGCCGACTGACCCGTGACAGCAAAACCGGCAGAAGCTCGGTGACCTGCCACCCTGAGTCTGCATGTAGTGCCCCTGGACTACATTTCCCAGAAGGCACTGCGGACTCGCTTCCTGCCTGGTCGGCTTGAAGGGAAGGACCAATCCCTGAGTGTCTCGGGAAGGAGGCATCCGGAGCCGCGGACCTAGAGATCCCAGAAGCCACCGCGCGGCGGCCCGGCCCGCAACTATTTCCAGATTTGGCGGGGGCAGGGGTGGGCCCAGACTCCACTTCCCGGCGGGTAGTGCGACCCTAGGGGCGGGACTTCATGTCCCAGCAGGCTCCGGGCGGCGTGGGCCGCGGTGCCTTGTGTGGGATGTAAGCGCGGAGGTGGGCGAGGGGTACCGAGGCGAGGACTCTCCTTGGGGTTTGGGGGCTTGGCCTGGGTGCGCTTTCTGGGCGGACTCTAGGGCCCCGGGGGCACAGTCGTAGAGGGGGCGTGGCGGCCATTGGGGCTCCTCATTGGGGTCCTTGAGGCGCACCCCATCGGGTACCGGGCGTCCCGGAATTGTGGGGGACAAAAAGGCTCTGCAGTCTCGGCTGAGGGGTCTCACCGACAAAAGAGGGGAAGCCGGTGAGCAGAGGCTGAGGAGGGTGGGGAAGCAGGGGAGCTGTGCGTGTGTCGGAGGGTGGAAACTTAGCGGACCCTGGGAGGGGGCTCCCCGGCCGAACCTGCCCGACCCTCCCTCCCGCGGCTTGCCTGCAGGCCGCCGCCCGCCGCCCGCCGCCATGGGGCTGAAGGCCGCCCAGAAGACGCTGTTCCCGCTGCGCTCCATCGACGACGTGGTGCGCCTGTTTGCTGCCGAGCTGGGCCGAGAGGAGCCGGACCTGGTGCTCCTTTCCTTGGTGCTGGGCTTCGTGGAGCATTTTCTGGCTGTCAACCGCGTCATCCCCACCAACGTTCCCGAGCTCACCTTCCAGCCCAGCCCCGCCCCCGACCCGCCTGGTGGCCTCACCTACTTTCCCGTGGCCGACCTGTCTATCATCGCGGCCCTCTATGCCCGCTTCACCGCCCAGATCCGAGGCGCTGTCGACCTGTCCCTCTATCCTCGAGAAGGGGGTGTCTCCAGCCGTGAGCTGGTGAAGAAGGTCTCCGATGTCATATGGAACAGCCTCAGCCGCTCCTACTTCAAGGATCGAGCCCACATCCAGTCCCTCTTCAGCTTCATCACAGGTTGGAGCCCAGTAGGTGGGAATCTTATCCATGACCCACTTCTTCAAAACCCTCCGTGGTTTACAGAACCCTTTTGAGAACTGTAAGCCTTGTGAGGTTGGGCAGGTGTTATTTTCCTCTTTGCAGTTGGGAAACTGAAGCCCAGAGAGGGGAAATGATGTGCCAAAGTCACACACGGCATGGCAGGGCTAGAAGTGAAGCCTGATCACTTGGCTCCAAACCATCAACCTCACCTCTGCCCCCTCAGCACCTCCACCCCTGCCACTGAACAGTCACAGCAGTTCTAAGCATGAGATACAGAGGGTGGCAGCAGATTTAGGGGGCAAGAAGATGAAATTGGGTTGCATTTGAGGCAGTTAAACAAAATAATAGTTATGAAGATGTTTTTGTTTTTGTTTTTTGTGGTTTTTTTTTTTTTGAGGCAGGGTCTCACTCTGTCCCCCAGGCTGGAGTGCAGTGGTGTGATCATGGCTCACTGCAGCCTCAACCTCCCTGGGCTCAGAGGTCCTCCTACCTTAGCCTCCTGAGTAGCTGAGAGTACAGGCATTCACCACCACGCCTGGTTAATTTTTTGTATTTTTTGTAGAGATGGCATCTCACTGTGTGGCCCAGACTGGTCTTGAACTCTTGGGCTCAAGTGATCTGCCCGCCTCAGCCTCCCAGTTGCTGGGATTACAGGTGTGAGCCACCACAACTGGTGGCCTATGAAATTTTTTTTTTTTTTTTTTTTTAAGACAGAGTCTCACTCTGTCGTCCAGGCTGGAGTGCAATGGCGCAATCTCGGCTCACTGCAAGCTCTGCCTCCTGGGTTCATGCCATTCTCCTGCCTCCTGCCTCAGCCTCCTGCATAGCTGGGACTACAGGTGCCCGCCACCACACCTGGCTAATTTTTTTTTTTTTTGTATTTTTAGTAGAGATGGGGTTTCACTGTGTTAGGATTGTCTGGATCTCCTGACCTCGTGATCCACCCGCCTTGGCCTCCCAAAGTGCTGGGATTACAGGCGTGAGCCACCGCGCCCGGCCAAAAATGTTTTGAGACAGACCGAGGGCTTGACCTCAAAAGGCTTAAGACTTTTCAGCAAGCCTGGTTGACTGGCAATCCCATCCTGGTGTGCCATATTGAGAAGGATTCAGAGGCTGCTTCTCAGATTAGCAGGAAAAGAGTGCAGAGATAAATGAGGATTATCTGTTGGTGAGTGTATAACAGGAGTGTGTTGGCCAGTGTCCTGTATTTGCCATTCCTGTTTTAACCTAGTAAGTGCAGTAAAATAGAATCCTTAAATCCATAGAATATATAATAGAGTTGCAGAGAAAGACGAGATAGGGCCAAAGGCTGGGTCAGCTACAGGAGATCCAGAAAGGTCTCTTGTTGGACATAGAGGGTGTAAACAGGGAGAGAGAGGCTTTGAACACATGGGAGGGAAGGGATGGAGGGATGATGGGCAGGATAATCTGAGTTTGGGGCACAGGCTTGGAAGGGGAGTGGGAGGGAGTGTGGCCCATCACTACCTGGCTCCCTTCCCCCACGTCAAAACACAGAGGACCCTCTTTCATTACCTGCCCCTTCCACAGGCACCAAATTGGACAGCTCCGGTGTGGCCTTTGCTGTGGTTGGGGCCTGCCAGGCCCTGGGTCTCCGGGATGTCCACCTCGCCCTGTCTGAGGATCATGCCTGGGTAGTGTTTGGGCCCAATGGGGAGCAGACAGCTGAGGTCACCTGGCATGGCAAGGGCAACGAGGACCGCAGAGGCCAGACGGTCAACGCTGGTGTGGCTGAGCGGGTATTGTTCCCTCCCTGCAACCTTGTCCCCTTATACTCTGGTAGCCCAAACCAACCAAAGGACTCCACTTTCTTGGGCCACACCCCTTTCTTCCCATTACCACCCACATACATCAGGAAGGGAAGACAGAAGAGCCCCTTTTCCCGGCTGTCATTCCCTGAAGAAGGCACAGGGTGGGCCATCATGAGACATAATGATCTTGTCCCCTCTCAAGAGCTGGCTGTACCTGAAAGGATCATACATGCGCTGTGACCGCAAGATGGAGGTGGCATTCATGGTGTGTGCCATCAACCCTTCCATTGACCTGCACACCGACTCGCTGGAGCTGCTGCAGCTGCAGCAGGTGAGGGCTGAGCCAATGGGGCAGTACTGGGCTAGGCCAGACTTGACTTGCTGTGGGACCCTGGGTAGGGGCACTTTCCCTTCCTGAGCTTCAGTTTCCCCCGCTGGAATATGGGTTAGTAATTCCTGGCCTGGCCTTTCCCAGGGCTCTTGGGAGAGTGGAATTGAGATGTGAAATTGCTTTAACTCCATTAAAGAATGGCCCAGAATTTTGGCGCTTCTACCTGGTGGGTGGTCCCTGTTTGTTCTGACCCCCACCTCTGCCCGATAGGCTTAGGACCCATTCTCCTCCCTGTTCGTAGCTCATAACTCTCTCCTTCGGCTCCTAGAAGCTGCTCTGGCTGCTCTATGACCTGGGACATCTGGAAAGGTCAGTAGAGGGAAGTGGCCAGGCTGGGCCTTGTGAGGCCAGGGGGCTGGGTGGCAGCCTGAATTATGATCCTCTCCTAGGTACCCCATGGCCTTAGGGAACCTGGCAGATCTGGAGGAGCTGGAGCCCACCCCTGGCCGGCCAGATCCACTCACCCTCTACCACAAGGTGGGGGCATCTAAGGAGGATGCAGAAGGGAGACCCCAACAGTGGCTGAGGCAGGGGCCCTCATCTGGGTGGATGAGAAGAGAACTTTGTGTGTTAGGGGGTATCACCCATCCAGTGTCACTTTATGTCAACTGAGTGCAGAATCAGTTCAGTCAGGGCTGTCTGAGGAGTGTCCAGGGTTCACCAGCCTGGGAGTGGCAGGGTCTGCATTTGTCCCCTCAGCCCTGCCTTTTCTGCCACTCCTTACTGTCCTTTCTGGAGTATAACAGAGGTCAAATGTGGTAGGAGCACTGAAGAGGGAGGGGGTGTTTACTTGGTGGGTGTAGGTGGGGAGTAGGGCCATTGGGCTGGGCTTGGAAGTCTTTGGTGTGTATGTAGAAGAGTGTCTGGGAAAGAGGAGGACCCTGAGCTTGGAGGGCAGGCCCCACCCCTGCAGTCTGCCCCAGGCCTCAGCCAGCAGTCCTGTAGACCCAGGGAGGAGACCAGGTAGAAGGGCTGGCAGCAAGTGGAGGTCAGAGTGGAGATGGAGAGGACTCCCTGGGATCTTCCTGTGACCCCTTCTGGGTGTGCCCTGGTGGGGCATTTGTGCCCGCAGGGCAGCTGGGGCTGCCTCCCTGAGGATCCGCTGCCTCACCCCCAGGGCATTGCCTCAGCCAAGACCTACTATCGGGATGAACACATCTACCCCTACATGTACCTGGCTGGCTACCACTGTCGCAACCGCAACGTGCGCGAAGCCCTGCAGGCCTGGGCAGACACAGCCACTGTCATCCAGGAGTGAGGATCTCCCTATTAGGGCCTGCAGCCTGTCCTTTCTTCCCCTCCATTAGTTTCCAACCACCCTCATCCAGGACTGAGGCCTGGCTCCCACGCCCCATCCCCTTTCCATCCAATCCCTAGGCAGCAAGGCCGCCATCACCCAGGAGGTAGGGACCCTGATTAAGGTGTCACATCTTTCCCCCCCTCCCTTCTCCTAATTTTTTTTTTCTCAGAACAGCCTCAAATCTCCTTCCAATGTTTAACCACCATCATCCAGCAGTGGGACCTCCACCCTCAGCCCCGTGCCCCTCCTCATTCTTGCTTTCTTGCTGTGGCTGACCCAGACAGCATCATTTTGCAGTGAGGACCCCACCTACTCCCCCAGCCCCTGGGGTGACCCAGGAAGAGAAACCTGGGCTCCATCCCCCACCAGGTCCCTGGGGCTACCCCCCATGGCGAGACCCCTTCAGACCCTACAGAGACCCCACTGCTCTCACAGCTACAACTACTGCCGGGAAGACGAGGAGATCTACAAGGAGTTCTTCGAAGTAGCCAATGATGTCATCCCCAACCTGCTGAAGGAGGCAGCCAGCTTGCTAGAGGCGGGCGAGGAGCGGCCGGGGGAGCAGAGCCAGGTGAAAGGCTAGAGCTCCAGCCTGTGTCCAGCCTCCAACCTGGGCAGGGCTCCCTGCCATAGGCCATGGGGGCTGCATGTATGGGACTAGGGATGGCATGAGGAAGGTGGCCCTGAGCAGAGAGCTATGTTCCCTTTTGCTATAACTGAGGTCCTGGGCCCAGGTTGGACAGGGCTGAAGGTATTTTAGAGGTTTCTACCCTGTGCCTTCAGTTTCATGGCCAGACTCCCTCCCTCAGCTGAGGGATGGAGATAAGGGATGGTAACTTCTGGCGACGGATTGGCTTTATAAAAGGAAAGAGGTTCTAAGAATGTTCTCAACCTATGCTTACCTTTTCTGGAGCCAGGGGTCTTTGCCTAGGTGGGGGGCCTGGCCTGTGCCCTCTGCTAAGGGGTAAGAGACTGACCTGTGCCCTCCCTTCCCTCTTGTCAAGGGCACCCAGAGCCAAGGTTCTGCCCTCCAGGACCCTGAGTGCTTCGCCCACCTGCTGCGATTCTACGACGGCATCTGCAAATGGGAGGAGGGCAGTCCCACGCCTGTGCTGCACGTGGGCTGGGCCACCTTTCTTGTGCAGTCCCTAGGCCGTTTCGAGGGACAGGTGAGGGACAGCTGCACAGAGGTCTGGGCACTACAGGTGGTGACAGCAGCTATGGCTTGTCAGACTTTTCTGGCCCAGGGGCAGTATCTGCTCATCCCCTTGGGTGCCGGTGAGACTGAGACCCCTGGGTGGCATGGGATGGCCAGAGCAGGGTCCTGGAGTTCCAGCCGCTGGCCCCCAACCTTGCTCTCACCTTGTTCTCCCCACTGGCCCAGGTGCGGCAGAAGGTGCGCATAGTGAGCCGAGAGGCCGAGGCAGCCGAGGCCGAGGAGCCATGGGGCGAGGAAGCCCGGGAAGGCCGGCGGCGGGGCCCACGGCGGGAGTCCAAGCCAGAGGAGCCTCCGCCACCCAAGAAGCCAGCACTGGACAAGGGCCTGGGTGCCAGCCAGGGTGCAGTGTCAGGACCCCCCCGGAAGCCCCCTGGGACGGTCCCTGGCACAGCCCGAGGCCCTGAAGGTGGCAGCACGGCTCAGGTGCCAGCGCCTGCAGCGTCACCACCGCCAGAGGGTCCAGTGCTCACTTTCCAGAGTGAGAAGATGAAGGGCATGAAGGAGCTGCTGGTGGCCACCAAGATCAACTCGAGCGCCATCAAGCTGCAACTCACGGCACAGTCGCAAGTGCAGATGAAAAAGCAGAAAGTGTCCACCCCTAGTGACTACACTCTGTCTTTCCTCAAGCGGCAGCGCAAAGGCCTCTAAACTACTGGGGACTTTGGACCGCTTGTGGGGACCCAGGCCCCGCCTTTAGTCCCCCAACTCTGAGCCCATGCTCTGCCCCCAGCCCAAAGGGGACAGGCCTTATCCCTACCCAAACCCAAAGTTCCAGGTCCCGAGCAGAGTCTATATCAAACCCACGATTTTCTCCAGCTCAGAACCCAGGGCTCTGCCCTAGTCGTTAGAGTATAGGTCTCTTCTCCCAGAATTCCAGGGTGCCAATGGAAACCTCACCCTGGGTCCTAATTAACAATCTTTAAAGGCCCAGCCCCTAGAAACCCAGGCTCCTCCTCGGAACCGCTCACCTAGAGCCAGACCAACGTTACTCAGGGCTGCTCCCAGCTTGTAGGAGCTGAGGTTTCACCCTTAACCCAAGGAGCACAGGTCCCACCTCCGGCCTGGGAGCCTAGACCACTCAGCCCCTAGGAGTATATTTCCACACTTCAGAATTCCGTATCTTGCGAATCCAAGCCCTCTGCGCCAAAAAACTTCAGTTCTGCTCCAGAATTTGGAAATCCTAGCTTCCTCTCTTTCCTATCCCGAGTCTGGGACACAAAACTCCTTCCCCAGCCTATGAGCATCCTGAGCCCCGCCCTCTTCCTGACGAAACTGGCCCCGGATCAGAGCAGGACCTCCCTTCCGACCCTCTGGGAACCTCCCAGAGGTCCAGCCCATTTCGGAGCATCCCAGAGGAAATCTGCAGAGGGTTGGGAGTGGGTGACAGGAGCCTGATCTTTTCCTGTTTTGTACATAGATTTATTTTTCAGTTCCAAGAAAGATGAATACATTTTGTTAAAAAAAAAATACAAAGCGCAAGTCCATGTTTCATCTGGGAAACTGGGGATGGGGCGGGGAGTGGAGCGCCCCCTCTTCCCTCTGCCTTCTGGCTTCCAAGACTTTGCGCTCCCTATCTGTGGAGCGCGAGCAACGAGCAACGGTGGCAGCGGAAGGACTTAGGCTCCACCTGGGCCTCGGGGCTTCCCCGCGCCG